CGCACAGTCTGACTGTCCCTCTCTCTCTGATCGCACAGTCTGACTGTCTCTCTCTGACAGAACAGTCCAACTGTTGTTCTCTCACTCCCTTTAGCCATAGAGTCTCAAACACACAAGTAACTGACAGACTGGGATATTATACAGAGGCTGAAGCTCAACCAGTTCAGAGGACAGGAATAAAGGACACTGGTAATGTACAATACAAGGATGAACAAGAAAACGAGAATGAGCAGTGTGCCCGTCTCTCTACACCACATACAGCAGTCTTCCCAGCTAACAGGCCACTACAGCTGCAGGACTCCTAGGAAACCTGTACGGATGAAGCAGATGGAGCAATAAATACGACTACATACTAATTTTAGTTTCATTTTAAACATCTGTCTATGCAAATTGATTCAAAATAAGGTAAGAAAGAGGCCGGCCTTGCTTCTGATCAAGAGCCCTTCAGCTGGTAGTGAAGCCTGGAGTGGTTCAGACTGCTGCGCACTGGGAGCCTTCACTGTCTCGGTGCAGTGATGTCCTGCCCGGTCCAGCTGTTTGCGAGGTCAGTGCAGTTCCTGCTGGCCTCAGGGAGGGGTCGAGGGGGCAATAATCGAGACCGAACTGCCGTCCTGCCGTTCGCTCGCTGTCTGCGGCCCCTTGTCTGGGATGTGTCCACTCCCCCTGTGTCTGGGGATGCAAGTGTCCACCGCGCTAGAGGCCCCGCCCACTCTCTGACCCCTCGTCCGGCGTGCTTTCCGATCCCATCGCTCCGTGTCTCCTGGCCGAGCTCCCCGGGGCGGCCCCAGGGAGGGGCAGCTTCTCCCCTCGCTCGCTCTCCTCTCTCGGCGCCCTGCTCTCCCTCTCCGGGGGGAGCTGGAGGCTCGCCAGGTTCGCAGGTGACATCACTTCCTGCCACCGCAGTCGCCCAATCCCAGCGTCCTCCGGCGCAACTTCCGACCCGAGCCCTCCTCCAGGAGATAGGTCACGTCGATCACTGGCGGGGGAGAGAGGAGCACCCTGGATCAGTGCTCACGGCCGCCACGCAAGTCTGATACACTGAGAGTCGCCATCTCCCTGCTCCTCCTCTCTGCCTCCCTCTCCTCCCCTCCTCCTCCTCTCCTCTCTCCCTCCCTCTCCTCCGCTCCTCTCCCCCCATCTCCTTCACTCCTCCCTCCCCTCCACCTCTCCTTCGCTCCTCCCTCACTTTCCTCCTCTCTCCCCCCAACTCCTTCACTCCTCCTCCTTCTTCCTCTCTCCCCCCAACTCCTCCACTACTCCTCCCTCCCCTCCACCTCTCCTTCGCTCCTCCCTCCCTCTCCTCCTCTCTCCTCCCAACTCCTTCACTCCTCCTCCTCCTCCTCTCCCCCTCTCCCCTGTCTCACCACTCTTGCAGGGTACTCTGTGCAGGAGTGTCAGCAGGATCTTGTTCAGTCTCTCCCTCTGTGCCTCCCGTCGCTCCATCTCCATCAGCTCTGGGGGGGGGAGCTCCTCTTCCTCCTCACCCCCCCGCTGCCCCTGCAGCTCTGAGATGGGAGGTGGGGGGGGCTCAGTGGGGGCAGGGTCAGCCTCGGCCTCGCCCTCCTCGCCCTCTGCCCGCGGCCCGGCCTCACACACTTCCTCCGTGCCTGGGGAGGTGTCCTCTTCACAGCCCCCCAGGGAGTCCTTACAGCTCAGCTTGGGACGCTCACTCTTCCAGGACGACCTGCCAGACAGGGAGAGGAAAGGGTTAATACAGACACTGACTGGACACTCCAGTACATTAACACTGCACTGAGAGAGAGAGAGGGGTTCATACAGACACTGACTGGACACTCCAGTACATTAACACTGCACTGAGAGAGAGGGGTTCATACAGACACACTGACTGGACACTCCAGTACATTAACACTGCACTG